TGCTTATTGAGATGCTAAGGGTGTGACAAATTAAATTATCATTTATTTTATTTTTAATTAGTTTATTTATCACCATTCCGGCTTTAGTTCAGCCTAAAGGGTCGTGAATTTCACCAAAACAAACAGCTTTAAGTTTCTGAGCGCCCCATTTTAAAAATGTTTACAATGTTTAAACTGAGTTATCAGTGACTGTGAGTTAGGGGGCCTTTCACTCAGCTGCTCTCGAGAACAGCTTACTGCTTAACATGAGACCAAAACCAGACCATTAATTCACAGTCTGGACGCCGCGTTCGAGAACTACACCCTTATAAAGCAGCAGTGGCTCTCTTTAGTGCTCTCTGACTCACTGCGTCCCTGGAAAACACAGCCACTGTGATCAATTAGGCGCCACCGAATGGCAGGAATTAAACCTCCTGTAATCCGTGGATAAAGAGGCAGCAGCCGAGTGACTCACCTGGCTGTGTTCTGAGTGCGATAACACGCCACCGATCGTGCCTATCTATAGATCCGGTGTCGATCCAAACTCTGAATGTAGACGCATGAATGAGGAAGTGAGTCACGACAAGTGGCGAGGCAGCAGAGCACGGAAACGGCACAAAGTGTTATCCTGCATCAGAACCGAGGATTAGGGGAGCCGGCAGAGAGGGCAGCTGGGAATTCCACCTTTCAGAGATCAGAGGAGCGATCGCCAGCAGAAGGCTGTGGAATTTCAGCTGAGAGGAAGAGGATTTGTAAGGAGAGGTAACCCCGCCCCCTCCAACCTATATGGAGCGAATCAGCCTAGATTAGGTCTCTGAAGTTTATGAGGAGCTGTGAAGCTAATGTAGCTAACACAGAACTTTCTGTACTGATGTACTTTTCCTACATTGATACTGAGACCGATACTGATAACTGCATGATTCTTGATAAAATATCAATCAGTTTCATAGACCGAGATCACAACTCTCATCTACACTTCTTTAAAACGCCAATTTAGTGATGACTCTATTTGTAAAACAGACAAAATACAGTGTTTCCTCTGATACTGAGTGATTCATCTTTTTTCAATGAAATCTCAATTTGATAAAGTGCACTTTTTAAATTCCAACTGCTCCAATTTTAATAACATCTTTTGTTCTACAATATATAAGTTTTAAGAGGAGAAATTTAACTTAATAAAGCAGAATTCACAAACTGTCAGTCTGTTACCTTCTGCATTCAAGCTGGAAAGACTGATGTGCTGGATTTCTTAGCCAAAAAAGGCACAAAGCTTAACTTAACTAAAATAATCACGTTTAAAAGACAATTGCAATATTGGTCAGAAAATTATTAATTACATATCTTCCACAGTTTGCCCTAGATTTTGTTTTAGTCAAGGCCAGGTGGAAGAACCTTCTCTAGCACACTGAGCAAGACAGGATACAGTGACGGTGAGGTTTAACTGTTCAGTTAATTTTATTTTCAAGGATGGACAATTTAACATTATCATACAGTAAAAAACTTTAAAAAACTGTCCGCATGATGACTCATTTATCCAAATACCACTATGATAACGCCAGCATGCTAAGATAATGCTAGATAGCTAATCCCATATGGGATTTGCAATGCTGTGTTAGCTCCGAGCTAACGGAGGTGTACACTCACTATCCCACACTGGGTCTTACTTTATATGTAGTTTTGCAGTGAATCCTTGTGTATATATGTAAATATAGTTTATGTAAGCCTAATTGAATCCAATGAGAAACTGCAAAATCAAATGTCCAATCATCCATTCTACTGTGTTCCAGGCCAATTAGTTAGTGACATCATCACAAATTGTTTGTTGAAATATAAAGTGTTTAAGTTGAATATTTTTGGTTATTTGATTTCTGATCACTTCTGACAGCCATAAAGTCTGCGGTTATTAAGGAGCAGCCTGTCAGCCTCTTAGCTCTCTGATGAGCTGGTCCAGCTAGACTTGACAGTTCACTGTGATTCAGTTTCTAGATGCCCAGCACTTCATTTACCTGGACTCGAACTCAATCAAGTATTAGCACTCCAGTAGAATTTGCATTCATCACTGAAAGGGAGGAAACTGGCATGAACTCACACCAGCAGGAGCTAATAAACGGTTGCTCGAGTGCAAAAGCCTCAAAAGCAAGTCTATTAGCCTTGTGGCTCCAGCGCAAAACTAAAGCTAATTTCAGACATTATATTTGTTTTGTTAATGAATCACGTTTGAGGAGAGGATAAACCTGTTAATTTCATTTTTCACATCTTGCTTTAGTGCTTTCGTTGTGAATATTCACTGCGGTTCAGTTTGTGGCCCAGTTTGTGGCCCAGTTTGTGTCCAGGGCGCTGGCCCAAGAAGTTTACAGAAGAATCATGGGCGCTGCTTTAGTGATTTCCAAAAACTGTTGGCTTGTTCTAAGTTACAAAACACTGATTTGCAAGGCAAATGATGACAGCATACGCTGTGCTGGCCTGGGGCTTTATTCACAGGCCACAATGACTGCATCACTTATGAACTCATCATGAATGCTCTCTTTATATACCCACTGTGTGCTTCTGAAATGATGCTTTATATACATAAAACTTTAGTCCACCGAAGTGTCAGATGTCACATTTGCCCCACTCAAAGCACTTCTTTCTGTGCGGCCATACGTTCCTGACGTCATGTATTATTGTGGTTAATCTCAAAGAGCCTTCTTCTAAGTGCAGAGACCTCATCTCACTCTCTCCTCAATGGTTCGGCTGTCAGCTCCGACACCCACTCCGAATGCCAGCCTGGT